TCACATGTGTCCCTATGTTTTCATTGATGGCCTTCATAATTCTGGGATTCACATTTAGGTCTTTAATCCATGTTGAGTTGATTTTTGTATAAGGTGTGAGGTGAAGGTCTTGTTTCAGTCTTTTGCATATCGTTTTCTAGTTCTGCCAGCACCATCTGTTGAGCAGCACGGGTTTGAACTGCATGGGACCACTTATATGTGCATATTTATTTTTAAACTCTGTGATGTTGATCATCTCCATGTGTATAGTTCTTCTCTCCAGTGTAGTATGTATTCCAGTAAAAAGTCATTTCTCACAGTTTCCTTATATTTTTCATTGTATTTAGTGCAGTACTGTGAATAACACAATGGGACGTAAACCTTGAATAACAATAGTGGGAAGTGTCTGCCACTAGTGATGTTGGAAGTGCTACCAAGAAGCAAAAAAAGTCCTAACATTATAGGAAAATGTGGATTGCTTGCTATGCACTGTAGTTTGAAGTCTGCAGCTGCAGTTGCTTGCTGTTTCAAGATAAATGTATGCAGCGTAAGGGCCATTGACAAAGTAAAATAGGAAATTTGTGAAGCTGTCACTGCAACTGTACTTGCAGATATAGAAATCTTGCAGTTTTTGTGAAATACCTATCCTTCTCCGACTGGAAATGCAGCTTTTATGTCAGTACGGTATGTAATATGTGGCAACTTTAAAGAAGTTTGAGGACACATGGAATTTAAATCTGTTAATTAACTATGTGATTAGCAAGGCAGCAGTGTGCTGCTATTGTTGTTAGTGTTTTCGAGTCGGTTTTGACCCATAACAACCCTGCATATAGTTCCCTAGGAGGGACTGGTGAGCTTGAACTGCTGGCCTTGTGGTTAAACCGACTTTTTAGTCCAGCGCATTAACCCCCAGGACTGGTAATTTGCTATTAGTTATTAAAGTTTTTTGAAAGTTGTAAGTTATGTGTAGCTTTTCAGCCTTACAATGTTTGAGAGTCAGCTATATAATGATGTTGCAGTTGTCTAGTATCTCAGTGGAGGGGAACATGCTGCGTTCTGAGTGGTGGGAAGATGATATTTGAGTGGGTAAGGATGTGAGATGAACAGTTGGAAGTTGAGTGGTAGAATTATTAAGCAGCTGGAGGTCGTTATGGCAGTGAAGGGTTAGTCATATTTAGATAGTACTGAATGACCTGATTGGAAGACGCTGTTGGGGCCACAGGGAGACAAGCTATTTCTATTTTATTCCCCTATCTCTAAATGGAGGTACATTTTAAAAGCTATATAGGGGCTAAATTCCTGAGGTAGTGCTTTATGATAAGCACTGGACTCCAGTTCATAATCAGCAGCCACTTCTCGGAAACCATATACAGGGTGGCTGTGAGTCAGAATTGACTCAAAGGCACTTAAAACACACACCCACAAAGTTATAGCAAGAATGAAATGTTAACTATTATAAAATGATCTTACTTAGAAATAACTCTTTACTTTTCTATTTCTGACTAGCTATTTAAACTTTTGTTTTTGGTGTAGGTTACATTGTCATTTAATATTTTTGAATAATTTATAGGAGAATTTAGTTGAGAGCAAACACCACAAGCTTGCCCGGAGTTTAAGAAGTGGACCATCTGACCACGATCTCAAACCTAATGCTGCCACAAGAGATCAACTAAATGTAAGATGAATTATAAAATTCTCATGTAAAAATAATTAAAGGTGCATTTTAGTTGTAGCTATTGTGACACCACTTTACTTAAAAAGTATTCATAGGTTTGTATTTAACAAGAATGATGATCCCTAAGTGGAACACATTTAATGATAAGGAGACCTGGTGTGGCACTGCAGGATAAACACTGGACTGCTAACCATAAGGACAGTGGTTCAAACCCACTAGCTACTCCTTGGAAACCCTATCTAGGGTTGCTATGAGTCAGAACCTAGTTGACTGTAGTGTGTGTTGCTGTAAGATAAGCCCCTGATTGCTAGGTTGGTTTTGAACCACAAGAGATTGGTGTTTCAAACTCACCAGTTGTTCCTCAGAGACCCTGTACCAGGGTCATTGTGAGACAGATCTGACTCAATGGCACTAACACCAAGGACTACAGAGCACATTTAAATCTTACTGCATGTGCATTCTCCTTGCTTGTATAATATGTATATAATAGGAATGGTGGCTTCCTGCTGTGGCACTGTGAGTCCTGGACTGAGTATCACATGCTCACTAGTTCACAACCACCAGGTGCTCTTCAGAAACCCTGTACAGAGTTGCCAGGACTTGGAACTGACTCGATAGCATTTATTAACAACAAAGGCAGGGTAAAGTGGAGGGTCACTGAAACAGAGGAAGATCCCTAATGAGATGTACTGAAACAGTGGCAGCAGCAGTGGACTTTAGCATAATAACAATTGTGAGGATGGAGCAGGACTGGACACTGTTTCGGTCTATTATGTATAGGGTCTCTCTGAGTTGGAACCGACTTCACGGCACCTAAAAATCCTCATCACTGGACCAATAAACAACTTTCTTATCAATGGAGAAAAGACTGAAGTTCTCAAGGACTTCATTCTTCTTGGATCAACTACCAACAGTCGCGGTAGCAGCAGTCAAGTGATTAGACGACGTATTGCATTAGGCAAATCTGCTGCAAAGGACCTTTTTAAAGTGCTGAAAAGCAAAGATGTCAGCTTGAGGTCTAAGATGCGCCTGACCCAAACCACCATAGTATTTTCAATAACCTCACATGCATGTGAAAGCTGGACAGTGAATAAGGAAGACCATAGTAGAAGAATTGATGCTTTTGAGTTATGGTGTTGGAGGAGAATATTGCAAGTGCCATGGGCTGCCAAAAGTACCAATAGATCCGTTTTGGAAGAAGTGCCCCCAGAATGCTCCTAGGAGGCCAGGATGGCCAAAATTCGTCTTTCATATGTCAGACATATTATCAAAAGGGACCAGTCGCTGGAGAAGGAGATCATGTTTGGTATGGTGGAGGGTCAGAGAAAAAGAGGAAGACCCCCAGCGAGATGGATTGTCAAAGTGGAAGCATCAATGAACTCAAGCGTGACAACAATTGTGAAGTTGGCCCAGGAGTGGGCACTGTTTCATTCTGTTGTGCATAGGATCGCTATGAGTCGGTACTGACTCTCTGGCACCTAACAACAACAACGAGAACAACAGCAGCAGCAACAAGTAATTTTAACAGGTGCACATGGCTATAGTTTTGTTATCAACTTTGAGCTTTGATGCATTAGCCTTGGACAGATAGCTACAGGTAATCTGTACATCTGTGATGTGTCCGTTGCCATCGAGATGACCCACCTTATGAAGACCCACCTTAAAAGACATAGTATGACTGGCCCATAGGATTCCCCAGGCTGTAAATCATTATCAAAATAGACTGGCACATCATTCTTTCATGTAGTCGATTTAAACTGTCGACCGGTTGTTTATCAGCCAAGAAAAGACTCAGAACTTGGTATACATTGACAAGAGAAATTTTTATTGTTTAGTGTTTTCTTCTCAAGTTTTGAGGGCTTTTGTTATTTTGCTTTATTTTGTTTTTGGTAGAATTGAATGAATCTGTATTTACATGCGTGTTTATTGATGTGTCATTATCATTTTTTCTAACCCCTTACCCGTTGACAGTAGAAAGCATTGAGGTCTTATTGACTGTACGAGCTCTCTCCTCGCTTGTGTAATAGTTCTGTTATACTTAAAAGTTTTTGAATGAAATTTGTATTTGATATAAAATACTTATTTTTGTTTTCTTCTTTGTTATAGATTATTGTGAGTTATCCACCTACCAAACAACTAACATATGAAGAACAAGATCTTGTTTGGAAGTTTAGATACTATCTTACTAATCAAGAGAAAGTGAGTTTCTTAACTATTTTCATCTATCAAATATTTCTACAAACTTTGTTGCTAATGATCAAGAATGAGGTAAAACTGACATGGAATAAACGTAGTAAGAATATAAGATAAAATTACTGTCAAGTTAAAAAAATCACCAAGGAATAATACATTATACAGGTATTGTCAAGGTTACCAACAAGATGTATTCCTAAATGTGCCTTCATAAGTCACATTTGTAGGTAAGTCAGAACAGATGTATACTCTTCTTATGTTTCTTTGCTTCAATGCAAGAAAAGGCTCTGTGGCTTCTCAGCAATTAAAAGCTATTTGTATAGGAAGTGAAGGTGATTGTGATTAAGACTTTGTTCCAAGTAGGGGTTGGTTCAATCATTGGAAAGTAAGGATAAATTCAGATAACATTAAAAGGCATGTACAAACTGTCCATTAGTCAGAAGTTGGTAACTCAGGGACTGCCTGAATGCCCTTAAAACAAACGTACGAACTTACATAGGTATGTACACAAAGACGGAGTCCTGGTGTGGTGCTGTGGGTTAATGTGCTGGAATGCAAAGTCAGTTTGAACCACAAGGTTGGCGGTTCAAGCTCACCAGCCAGTGCTTGGAAACCCTATACAGGGTCACTATGGGTCAGAACCGACTCAACGGCACATAGCAACTATACTCACAAAGACAATGTAACAAACACAGTGTAGTTTATTACATTGACAGTGTCTGAAAAATTGTACAGTTGGCCCCTTTTGCAGAAGAGTTAAGTGTGGATTTTTTTACCTTAAATTAGCTGATTAGTCTTATCATTGAATTTGCTTAATGATAATTCAAAAAGGGCTGCAGCAGTAAACACAGCAGTTCCTGGTGTGGTGCTGAAAGATAAGCACTGGACTGCTAACCGTAAAGTCAGGCAGGGTGACTATGAGTTAGCACTGACTCAACTGTACTTAATAGCAACTATAAAAATAGTGTCTTAATAATTTACAGTAATTTAATACACTGTATATTTGTGTGTCTGTGCATACCTGTGTGATCATATTGATGTCTAAAAGTCAGAAAAAGACCAACAACCTAGTAGAAAATAAGCAGGGACTATAAACTGAAGTTCACTGCAAGTAAAATACAAATTAGTCTTAAAAATATACTCAACCCCACTTTCAGTGACTAATAATTATACTAATGAGTGTTAATTAAGAACATACTGAGAGACAGCCTTCTTATCAAATTGGCAAAAGTCGTACAGTTTGATAACATGTTCTGAATAGTCTGTATGGAAATAACTCATTCAAGGTTGGAGGATTTGTATATTTTTGAGAGTATAGTCAGTCGCTAGGTTACAAATGTCTGACATAAACAGACACCTACTACTTGCTCTTTAATGTTAGTCAGTTTGCTGTTACTTTGAAGCAATTGAATCAATCCATATCTAAAACAAATTAATCACAATCACCTTCACTTAATACACACGCAACTTTTTAATCACTAAAAATGCTTCAAACCTTTCTTGTACTAAAAAAGGTTAAATAGGAAACAGATGCATCTGTTTACACCGACTTAAAATTTTTTTTTTTTACCATGCAACAATAGTTATTCTACTTCCTCCTTGTGATTCCTGTTTCCAGTCCACCTTTCTTCTCAACTTTGGCCTTAGGTAGCTGTTGCCCTTTTGATTTTGGATGATGAATGATAGCTGTACCACAGTGAGCATCCCTTACTAATGTTATTGCCACCACCACCCCCTCCCTCGCAATATGCCTCTCTATTGCTTGGCTGAAAATCGGTCCATTGGTGAGTTTCTTTCCAGACCTGAATGGTGCTCAAGGACCATAGTCTCAGTTTCCTCCAGTCTCTTTCTGAGTTTTTATTTGAGTTTTGTCCCACCTTTTCTCCCACTCAGTCCGGGACCGTCTAATAATATCCTTTTAGAACAGTTGGTAGTGGTAGCCAGGCACCATCTTGTTCTGGTCTTAGTGTCGACTAATGTAAAGTTTACCTGCTCCATTGGTTCATTGAACTAGTTGATTACAAGCATCTTCAATTTTCATTACTCTTCTTTCTTCTATTCTTGGAGAGACCAATAGTTGCTCCTTAGATGGCTATTTTGAGCTTTTAAGATTCGAGCCAATACTTAACAGAGTAGGATGTAGAACATTGTCTTTGTGGACTATGTTATACTAATTGACCTACAGATTCTGAGACACTCTTGGAAATAGATCTTGTGCTTATCTGGGTAGTGCCTTTAATGTAATTTAATATGCTTTTGAAAATTGTGTTTAATATTTTATGATATATTGATTATTAGTTAGGATATAGTAGACTTCTGATGTGGCATGGTAGGTTAAGCCCTGGACTACAAACCAAGGTCAACAATTCAAAATCACCAGCTGCTTCTTGGAAAATATACAGGAACACTATGAGTTGATACCCACCCAGTGGCACTTAGCAATAACAGCAGGGCACAGTTTACTTTGCTTGTTTTTTTATAGCTGTTACAGATGAAGACAATACCTTAAAAAGCTATATAGATAACAAATGAAATAAAACAAGATGGACATTGTTTTCCAGGCTGGGCTTTTGTTGAGAATGCAAAGATCTGAAGTTTTTATGAGCCACAAATCATTTTCATCAAGCATTTCTGAACAACAGCTAAGTGTGTGCTAGTGGTATAAGGTAAAATTCACATTGCAATCAGCCCTCCGTATCTGCGGGTTGTGCATATGTGTATTCAACTAACTGTGGATCCATAATATTCGGAAACACATACAAGAAAAACAATTAAGTGGTAAAAGCTATTCCCCCAAAGGCTAAGAGGGAGTGTTAAGAGCTACATATAAATGTTAGAAGTATAAGGTATAAAATATATAAAGTAAAATTTTGCTAAGATCATTCAAAAAGGGCTGCTACAGTATATTGACAGGGAACGGCCAGAGATTCAAGCTAGATTCAGACAAGAACATGAAACAAAGGATATCATTACTCACGTAACAAGGATCTTGGCTCAAAGCAGAGAATAACAGAAAGATATATATCTGTGTGTTATTGACTAAGTAAAGGCTTAGTCAATAAATGACTGTGGCTCATGACAAGTTATGGACAGCATTGTGGAGAATGGATATTTTGGAACACTTAATTGTGCTCATAAGGAACCTGTACATAGACCAAGAGGCAGCCCTTCCAATAGAACAAATGGACACTGAATAGTTTAAAATCCGGAAAGGTTAGCACTAGGGTTGTGTTCTTTCACCGTACTTATTCTGTATGCTGAGCAAAAAATTCGTGAAGCTGGATCATACGATGAACTTGACTTCAGGATTGGAGGCAGACTTATAACAACCTGCGATATGCAGATGATACAACCTTGCTTGCTGAAAGCAAAGAGGACTTAAAGTACTTAGTGCTAAAGAGCAAAGACCACTGCCTTCACTATGGGTTGCAAACAAAATACCTCTCCACTGGACCAATAAATAACATCATGTTAAATAGAGACAGGATTGAAGTTGTCAGAGACTTAATTTTCTTGGATCTACCATCAGTAGTCATGGAAGCAGCAATCAAGAAATCAAATGATGTAATTCATTAGGCAGATCTGTTGTACATGACCTCTTGAAAGTGTTGAAGAGCAAAGATGTCACTTGACCCAAGCCATGATATGGTTGTTGATCATTGTTAAGTGCCATTGAGTCAGTCCTTACCCAAGTGACCCCTTATTGAGTTTCTGAGGAGTGGCTCGTGAGCTTGAATTGCTGACATTGTGGTTCAAACTAACTTTGCGGTCCAGTGCATTAACCCACAAGGACTCCACAAGCCATGCTATATGCATGTGAAAGTTGGACAGTGATTAAGGAAGACTGTATAAGAATTGATGCATTTGAGGTATGGTGTTGGAGAAGAATATTAAAATACCATGGAGTGCTAAAACAACAAACAAGTCTGTGTTGGAAGAAGTACAACCAGAATGTTCTTTAGAAACCAGGTTGATGAGACTTCATCTCTAATACTTCAGACATATTATCAGAAGGGACCACCCCTGGAGAAGGACATTCATACTTGGCATAGTGGAAGGTCAGTTTAGTAAAAGAGGAAGACCCCTTTAGTAAAAGAGGAAGACCACGAGATGGATTAGCACGGTGGTAGTGGCAGTGAGACTCAAGTGTAACGATTGTGCAGATGCCTTAGGAGGACTGAGCAGTGTTTCGTTCTGTTGTGCATAAATTAGGTGTAAGTTGAAACTGATTGATGACACCTAACAACAACAACAACATGTATTATAACGTAAAGATGATTTGAAGTATACAGCAGGGTGTACGCATGCTATATATAAATTCTACACCATTTTATTTTAGTCACTTGATCATCATCGAATGTTGGTATTCGCAGAGGTCCTAGATCCAGTGCCTCACAGATACCAAGGGATGACTATATTAAAATGGAAATGTGACCTGTCTTACATTATCATGTTTGTTTGTGCTTGTATTATTATCAATGTTGTTCCACTGTTTTTCTTTCCAGGAATCTGTTGTAGTTCCATGTCCCTTAGGTAAAGGTTTTTTAGATAAAATAGGGTAATATCCTTAAATACACTCAATTAGACACTTGTTAAATCTAATACATGGGGGCACACTAAAAATAGACCCATTCCCCCCTCTCTGTTTTGTGAAAATCCCTCATGAGATGTTACTATATGTGACACACAACTTGCTGACATAGTTCAAGGGTGGATGATATATTGTAATTTAAACATTTAATTATGTTTTAAATATTAATAAGTAAATAGGAGGCTTCCGAACGTTCATGTAAATTTTCCATTGTTGTTCAGTTTAATTTTTTCCACAAAGTTTTTGAAGCCTTAAAAGATTACATTTTATTCCTATAGCCAATTGTTTGACTTAACACACACTCCATTTTGTAGACCCCTGGGTTGCTGGTAATTTGTGTAGGAGAGTAATGGTAATAATATTAACTGGTCGAGATCTTTATAATTAGACTTTACTTTGTATGTAATGAATGCTT